GATTCCGTGCGTGGCAGAGATGCAAGGGATTAGCCGATATGGTCTGGGGGCCGGCTGGTCTCTCCCCTGATGCTTCGGCTAGAACATTTTCTTGCGTAAATCGTACACCCAAGGACAGAAGGATTTAATCGCCGTCAGGTCCGAAGTCCATACGCCGCCTCAGCTCTACGGATGTCTCGGGGGTATGGCACAGTGGAATCGCATTTTTTGAATTTCTTTTGGTGGGTTCGATTCCCATCTTATCCACATAAGATTTTTCTTTTGTAATCAATCTTTTTTTAATTAGATTTAAATCTTCAACAATAAGGCAATCTTTTTTAGTGAAAAACGTTTTATTCCTAGTCGGTAGCCTATAAGCCTGCATAAGTTCGATCAGATGTTATCAGTCATATAAGCAATGTCGATCCGCGAAAATTAGAGCTATGCTTTCCTGTCTTTCTTAGTAAATTTTGCTGACAATAACATTTACTGCACTTGGATCTCTATATCATATGCCAGCAAAGGACTAGTGGGTGGTGCCGTGAAGAATTCTAAGTACTATTGCGCAATTTCTGGATTTTCTGACAAAATAAAAAGCTTCCCAAATAAATAATATTATAACAAACGATGGTAAAAAAGAAAGAAAATTGATTGGTGATTCTGGCAGAGAACATTGGGATATTTGATCTTTTTGCGTCGTGGCGCAAGATCAATTTCACAAGTAATGTGACATTCATAACCCAAAACTGTTTATTTTATAGCCTAAAAAACCTGCAATTACTTTAATATGATGTGAAAACACCTTTGGAGGGAAAGATCGTCTTAGACGAATTAAACGAAATCATTCTAGAGCAGCCCTGGATAAGCGCTTTATAAATTGTAATTATTATTATTATTTTTTTTTTTTTTTTTCGTGAAACATTCCATTATCTTTTGGCTAATATTGCAAACTTGTGAGGTGAACAGTGAATGCCTATAGGGCGTCTTGAACTTTGAACATTTGAAGTAATATCATGGAGCGATAATTAAATCAAAAAATGTTTGATACGTTAGATGATTACAAAAATGTGAACGGAATTAAATGATACATTAAGATATGGAAAATGTAATTCAAGCATTTACTTTAATCCGCCATTTTGATTTTTGATAATAAACCGCTAGAATTTTCCGCGGGCTCAGGTTTTTCTGATTGTTATTTATATTTTTAAAAAAATATTTTTCTTTACAGGATACGTCCCCTATTGAAATGGCTGCTCCGTATGACCTGAGAGATGTGACGCCAATCGAGGAATTTACGGCGCCCAGCGATGCAGACTTCCTTGGACGGATTTATTTTTCTTTGCAATACGATGCCCCAAGGTAAGAGTTAAAACTAATCATTAATAATATATCAATCACTTAATGAGGTCTAGTATTCATTTAATGGAGATAAAAATAGAATATAAACTCAATGAAGAAGTATATGATGCCCAAAAAAGGAAACAAATCATAGATGGTAACCGAGTCAAAGAAATGTTTGCCACTTGTGGTCTTTGAATTAATTAATCCATAAATAGATATATATAATACAATATAATATGTTTTTTTTAAATTTTTGCTACTCATTTTCTGCTCATTAAATAAAAATACGATCTACCTTTCATAAGTAATATACAAATTGAGTTTGAGGACTAGCTAATTGAAATTTGAAAAGTCTCACGTGAAAAGGTGACATTTTTACTCCATGCGCACGCTCAGTTCATATTTTAATTTTATGATTTCTTTCTCTGTTTTCCCTAATAGCATGCGACCCTCGATGTTGAAATGATAAAAATTGAAAACAAAATTTCTACTTATATTGGGGACCATCTGTTCACATATAATAATGGATATTTTTTAGAGCTGTTCTAGTTGTTCGAATATTAAAAGGAGAAGAGTTTCCGCCATATTTGGGACAAGCACCCGATGTTTTTATGGAGGCAAAGCTCTCCCCAACCATGAAGAACGGCCAGTTAAGAACCGAAATCCACGAGAGAACATCCCATCCTTCTTTTAACGAGATCTTTGAGTTTGGACTTTCGTATGATGAGATCAGAAAACAGACGCTGCACTTTGCTCTGTGTTACATGGATAAATATTCGCACCCCTTCCACGTGGGGGAAGTGATACATCCTCTGGATCATTTGGATAAGGGAGAGGACGACATTCTAAAAGAAGAAATGATAGTATGCAGAGAGATACAGAAAATGTTACAGGTAAGTTTATAATAGGACTATAAACCTTGTGTACCAATATTCCAAATATTTTAAATGCCAGAAATTAACATAATAATTAACATAATATTGAGATCCCATGATGCACTATCAATACGGCGAAAAACAAATGCGTGTTGTTTTATACATCAATATTATACTTTTAGTACAATCCTGCAGACTTGTGTTGCATAGAACATAACAACATTTGGAGATAATTATTTCACGATTCTTTTCTCAGTGACAACTCTCAATTTTCGACTTTACTCTTGAAGCATTCTCATCCGGCGCTATTTTGCTCTTCCACGTCCAGAAAAGAAAGGATCAGGGCGAAAGTCAGTAATACTGATTTCCTCAATAGTGAACTAGCCATTCCAAAGTTGAGCGAAAACTGAGTCGAGTTGGCATTGCAGTGCATTATGGGACTGTTTTATAGGACATATTTCCGAGCTGACTCCTATTTCGTCACCTAAATCAGCGCCAAAATGCATTCCAATACCAACTTGACCCAGTTTTTTTACTCGTCCTAGGAATGGCTAATACGTCAGAGCTCTTTGTTTATTGACGGAAACCAGAGGAAACCCGGGCTCTGAAGTCGAGCATGTTTATGAATTAAGAGAATAAAGTTTTTCCTTATTACATTATAGAAAGATGATGATATATCACGTGACCTTGGATATGGCCAGATATTGTTTTCGCTAATGTATATGCCGCTGACCAGAAGACTAACCATCGTGATCTTCAAGGCACGAGATCTCAAGTCATGTTCCGAAGGGATTCCAGGTAATTTAAATACTGTCTACAAAATATGTACAAAATGAGTCATCAAGAAATAATGTGCCACTGGACTCAGCAAGAAATATTTAGTTTACAAATTAGATGATATGCTGTTATGGAATGCCCAAAATTTTGTCCCTCAGCTGGTTTTGAGGGAGGGTCATTACTCACTTCTATGTATGCCTCTTCAAGCTTTTCCTTCAAAAGAAATGTATGGTACCCCAATGCATAAACCAAGTATTGATATTTTAAGTTTAACCACGCGTGAACTAATGACTAGTTTGACCGGTTTTTGCCACACGTTTTCAGCTGTTTACGTAGAGGTAGTCATGGTCAACACATTAAAAAGAATACGAAAGAGAAAAGCAACGACTTTGAAGACAGGGACTCTGTCACCCGTATACAATGAGGCAATGGCTTTCGATGTGGCAAACATGAAGCTAGATGATGTCAAACTCCAAGTATTTGTCAAGCAAAAAATGGAAGGCGTTCCACACAAATTAATGGGCCGTGTAGTACTCGGCTCCAATGTTGAAGGGTTCGAGAATGAACATTGGATGGAAGCGATGAATGCTAAAAAACCGATTGCACATTGGCATAGCTTGAGTAAAGCACATCCTTCCATCTCACCCACCAAACCACGAAAAGCAAAGACAATGTCTTTTCCGTGTGGGAGAAATGTAGAACGATTCTTGGCCTCTTCCTCTGATAGTGAAGGCTGAAGCGACCTGTGTACAGTAAACTCGCAATAATAAATTATTTTAACGGGGCTTTCGTTCGTTAGAATGCGGAGCTCGTGAGAGGCTCTAAGGGTTCGGTCAAAGGTTCACTCTCCTTTCCCCCAGCAACAAAATATATATTAAAGTGACAATAGGAATACTCCCTTTCTTTAGTCCCATACAAGTGAGGCTATCGTGTCGATACAATGCTTATTGTCTCATTGCATGCATCCATAGTATCTGCTATTGCAAAGAGCATGTTAATGCAGTAGTTTTACATGGAATGCCCTTGTATTTACCACACTTTGCGCCGGCACAGTTCGTGTCTTCTCAACTCGAATGCGGTCAACTCGAAGGCATACCATTATGAATTATTGTAATTTCTTTCTTATTAAAAGCAAAGTAATACTCTTCAACCTTGATACTCCTCTGCGCTAATGAATGAAAGACCCCTTGGTTAGATTATTCTAAGAAAATACTCTCCAGGGTCGTAATTTAAAAGGGTATCCTTTTTTCTTTCAAAATACCAACTTGATTTTTTGATAATAGATATTATTTTTTGTCGCGTATTTTGAAATATAGAAAGCTATGTTTTCCTGTACATACGAATCTAGTCTCCTCCGAAGGAGACTAATACGAATCAAGACACCTCTCAATTTAACATCGGTGTATAATGGTCTAACTTATTTCAATTATAATATGAAGAAATTTCTATATTACTTTTTGGATTGAAGGTGTGGGATGTGTATTTAGTAGGCCTGGTTCTCACTTCTATCAAAATGAATATAAGCATAGTCAATATCGTACCCAGAGCCTGCGTTTCATCTGGCCTGCGACGAAGAACGAGGGCTCTGGCATAATCCGTTTTTTTGGCGCATGCGCAATTTTTCGGAAATATAATCAATGAAAATCATGCTTTCAACAAGTGGTCTGTGTTTACTTCCGATCAAAATAAAAATTAGAAATCGGGAACATATTCTTTGGGCAAGTCTTTCAACGCATGTGCTCTTATACCGAAAGTCCAAGAAATCCTGGTCGCAAAGAATAGATTATTTCAGAGCCCTCGTTCTTCGCCGAAGGCAAGGAGAAACGCAGGCTCTAGGTACGAGATTAACATAGTCTACATGCGGAGACTCGTTGCAGCTCTTTTTTCAAGAGGCCAGTAACGACTAAATCTTTTTTTTGGAGTCTCCTTGGGCAAGGGAAACAATAGACTTGTCCTGTAGCACTAGGGTAACACTACTTTATTGCACTATTGAATCTTACTGCTAAAGTTTATGTTCGTGGTGTTTGTGAAAATCTCACTCATCACTCACGCCTAAAATGTTTTATGGTGTATCGTTAGATCAAGAGTGATCGTTAGCGGGGAATTCTTTTAAGGAACTCAAAGTTTAATCTTAAGTAACTCTTAGAGTGGTTTTCATAAACACATAAAACAAAGTGTACTTATTAGAGTGTAATAGTCGGATAAACACAATAGAAAACAAGAGAATTAGAGTGTAATAGTACTAAATAAGCTAAAGTGTATTTCACGGGTTTATGAAAACCACTCTACTGATAAAACAGGTTCGAATCTGCGCACACGTTCATATCGAGCATGCAAGGTGAAGCTCAGTGTCGTGCGCAAACTTTTATTTGTTAAAAAGACATGGATTCTGGTGCGCATATTCTTGGAGTGCAACCACATGCCTCAAAATCTCCCGAGATAAACGACAATGAAACAGTCGCCATGTTGGCTTATCAAACAAGAGAAGGTAACGAGGAAAGCTTTGTTATTGGCAACCAACATGGCGGTTATGACGTAACATGCACCCCAAGAATTGTTTGCACGAATCGAATGTACTCAATGATAATATGCGACTATCCATAATGTTAGTAGATCTTAACGGTATTCTGCATCTATTACTTGCTATTCTACGTTGCGCTCAGCATTGGTAGATTGAATGTACACTCGGCGTATTTTGACTGCTACGAGCAACTTTGTCAACTTTCTGCGCGCAACCGTTGAATTATCATGTATCTAGGCTTTACCATGCAAATAATCTACACTGAAGTCATGATCACTTGTGAATTAGTCTCTATTCCTCGGCAGCCATTGGCCTTTTCTGAATCTATCAACATGATGCATTATGGACCAGTTTGGGTACCAACACCATATTAGGTACCATAGTAGGTGTTTGTACCGAAACTATTTTATACAATGTACCATGCTCGCTGTCTCAGAAGTGGTTTAGTATTTTTGTGGGAGCAAAAGATTTTAGCACGAGTAGCCTCGGTACTGGGGCATTGACATAGTATAGATTATGAATGCATAAGCATGACCGCCACGTGTGAAGTTCCTTAAGAGAACTGTTGAAGATTATAATCATGGACATCATAAGGGGTAGCTGGTTTCAATAAAAAAAAAATGAATTGAGATACATACGTAGTTTAGCTGCTAGACATTTTATTGGGGGGAGGGGGGGGAGGGAAATAAGCTATAATCATGTTGTGAAAAACTCTCGACGAATAGCTGTAAAAAAACCTCATCCCCAAGATTGCCTTTCTTCGTTTATTCGAAAAAAAAGTGTAGGTGTGACCAGAGTATGGTTCGCTACTCAAATGACATCAGAAATCACACCTTTTCTATCACCTTCAATGCCTTAAATAATTATTTTATTCAGAATATGGTTGTTCTTGAAGTGTGGGCTGTTTTATCAGTCTGCACGTCTGCTCAGCTTTAGTGAAACAAAACAAAGCAGAAATGATTGAAAGGAAATCAATGCAACAGGTGCATAATTATCCAAAAAAAAAAGCCTAACTCTAATACAGCTTGGTTCCATACACGTTCGTCTTGTTTTTGTTGTGTTTTTATCGCGATTCCCAACAGCTTGTGAAAACATAGCGTTCGCGCAAAAAGCGACTACGATAAAAAACAAAAAACCTATAGGAAAACATCAAAAAAACAGTAAAGTATTTTATTATCTTAAAATCCTTTTTTCCGTATGTGTTTTTTTACGTTTTTACCGTGTATGATCCTTAAGCAGCCAAAGACAGAACAGTACAAAAAATATTGATGCAAAGTCTAAGGAAACAGCAACTGAAATAACGACTTAGAACCAACTGAATCAAATGAATCAAAATTTTGCGCCTTTTTATCGGGCAGACTATTTTCCTTCATTTTTTATTATTAAAGATTGATAAGCAGCAATAGGCGTGTAAGAAGAATAAATAGAACGTGTAAAAAACAGCAACTGGAAAGACTATTATAAGCTATAAGCGGCCAAAAATCAACGTCACTCAAGAAACAGCCAGAAATCTTCTTGAAGTCTAAACTGTAGTTAAAGTTGCCAAATCTTTAGTTCATGATTTCAATTAGCAGGGACAATATCCGTTCATTCTTATTCATTTATTTTTGTAATTTCCTCTCATTTCTATGGTTTCCGCTTCGCATTCCCTACCCACGCCAAACCCTTAACACAATTTTTAAATCTTATAAGGTAAATGTGTGTTTGGACGTTTATTTGAACGCACGCGGAAATGCAATAAAATTTCTAATTTGTTGATTTTTTGGTATAAATGTGACGGCAAATATGTTATCATATCATGATTTCTTGCACTAATATATAATGTGCTATCCGAGTATTATTGATTGTCACAAAACTTAAGTCGATCATGTGAATTATACCAAACACACTTCCTTCATTATTTGATAACACAGTTTTTTTCTGATAACAGCACATGGAAAAGTTATGGTAGAACAATATGTTACTTGCTATGTTTTTTACTTTTTTACTCTTTTTTCCCTGTTTTCGACTTTCAAGTCTTTACATACTTTTCTGTATTCAAACTAATAATAATAAGATATATATGGTTCAGTGGTTTGAACTGGAGGGTTAGAGACTGGAAAAAGACTGAACAATGATGTAAAAGTATTTACGTTTTCAAAACCCTTTCATTTACAGACAATAATGAAGAATCGAAAAATGTTCTAGCTCCATCCATGCTTATCCACCTGCTAAGCAGCCAGTATGTTGGTTATCTAACATCAGAATAATTGGGTCAAGGCCTTGAAATGCGGATCGCTTTTCCAATATAGTCACCATCATATGGTCAAGTTCTCGTTCCTGATCTTAATGATAAAAGCAAACCTCGCATGCAAATCTAATTATTGGCCGCATTTTGAGTCGCTTTTTTTATGTTGAACTCGTGATACCATCAAACAATCCACTTGTTCAGCGATACTTTTTTCTTGTTTCACTTTTACTACATAAATAGCGGTGGCAAGCGCGCTTGGTCACGGAGGTTATCTTGGGATTTTCGCTTTTTCTTTATGACTCTGATCTAAGTTCATAGGATTCATAGTGAAACAACGATATAATACTCGTAGCACGCAGCAACACGCTTTACTGCAATGTCTTTTTATTCAACTGTTGTCATGAAAACAAGCGTTAGTTACGCCTTTTTTCTCTACTCCATTTTCTGTAACTATCTTCCTCCGTCTTCGTTATAATATAAGGTCAGGCAAGTTCGACTTTATACCACACATTAGCTACATCTGTCTCTTTTTCTCAAGCAATTCCCTATCGACAATTATTCATTTTTTGGCTTCTTTTACTATAGGGTCTGGTAAATATTCTTCTACAAAAACAAACACGGTAGCTGTTCTATCAGCTAATAGAATATTGTTTTGCTAATTTTTCCGGTAACTTTAGGAAATGGGATTGTAGATGATACTGAAAACCCACATCAAATTTGAAGAGCCCTATCTTACCAGCTGTTCCAAAGCATTGGATGGCTTTTCACTATAAACATGGTTTACGCTTGACCTAATAAAAAGGTCGCTCAATGACACGTGTCAAGGGTAAAATTAAGTACATAATTACTACAACAATATTCATTCAAAGAAACGTCTTTAGTTTGTCGGGGTGTTATTCTGATTTGCCAGTAAAGATATAAACCGACCTATGGTTTTGTCGTTCAAAAGTGCGTTATTTTTGCGTTACTCTATTTTTTTATGCATGATATGTCCGCCAGAATTCGTGTCTAACAAAACAATTGTAAGCCTAGTACAAAAGAATATATTAAAATGCTTATGTACTAATTTGAATATGTGTTCGCGCTTTATCGTCAAGATTGGCATTGGCCGTTACTGAGTACTTTCATATTTCTAACAAAATCCAGGCCTGTTCTATTATACTTGCATGGAGTTTACATGGTTCTCAACGAATCTTATTATATAGCCTGGGTCTAGTGAGGGGCGAGAAGGCCATGGAAGATTCATTACTAAGTAAGAGACCAGTTTTCTTCCGGTGAGAGCGTTTTCCGTTGGCGCCTTTTCGTGTGTCGGTCATTCATTCAACAGTTGGATAAAGACGATATTTGAAGGGGAATTATCTTTATTCTTAAAAATGGTGTAAAACAAGATAAAAGGTAAGATAAAGGAACGTTCTAAGTTTGAGTCGATTGTGTCGTCTGCTGAAAGGCAGTATAGTAAAAAAAAGCGATGAGAAAAGTTTGTTTTGAACGTAGAGACGCGACCTAATATCCTAGCTCATAACAGCTGATCAGAACCAATCTACCGGCTAAGGCTCAATTCACTTGATATAATGATTATTCTTGGAATTATCCTTGCTAGAAACATGAAATATATATTGATCAACATGCTGAAAACCTGTTCTAAAGTTTCATTTTCACATTCACACAAAGGCTTCAGTTCATGGAAGATTAATTTGTCATTTCAGAAAGTAGAACGGCTGAACGCTTGGCAAACATCATCATCATTTCAAACCGATTCGGTTTAAAAATCTTTTAACTTTACGTCAAAGATTTGTAATTAAGCTAGAAAAGAAGGTTTTCATTATTTTTGTCGTTTTTTCTCTTCCAATTTTATGGTTATTCGTGTTTTTCGTGTCTTTCAATTTAATTTGTCATTTTAATGAATTGCATTGGCATGGGTATTGTACATGACAACTGGAACTGACCAAGTTATAATAATGTACAACTCTCAAAATATCATATTTTTTGAATTTTTGAATTTTTTCATGTTTGAAATAGCAAATTACTAGATATACAGACAGAACTCATTTATCAAAGGGAGTAAAAGATGGACGGAAGTAACGAAAAACGTTTTAGTGATGAAAATGAAGCATCTTCGTTCACATGCATGACAATAATAATGTACAATTCTCAAAATTTTATCAACTAAAATACATATTGTATAAAATATTTAATTTTGTCATGTTTGAAATGGCAAATAGCAGAATTTACAAATAGAACTGATTTATCAAAACGAGTAAAAGAAATAAAGGAATTAACGCAAAAAAAACAAAACAAAACAAAAAATTAAAAAAAATTGAAATACAACAGTATTGAAATCTAAACCGGTTTTATCTTCGCACACGTGTATGACAGTGCAACAAAAGAAACGGAAACCGAAATCGAACTAATCCCACGTGTAAATTATAAATACACGTTGCTAGAAAATAATAGACTGAGCGAGTAGAGATAACTTGTGATTTAAATGTCTATTTATGGAATTGTTTGAGCTGGTGTCATTTAAGGTCATTACAGAAAAATGAAAACAAAGTCGAAGTAAATGATATTGATAATCGCTTTATTTCAATGTTTATAGTACACTCAACGAAATTACTCGACTCTGATTGGTCGAGAGGAGTACAATTATAGCGTTAATTGTACTCCGTAGGAGTACCGAATTAAGTCGCTATGGCAACACGGCCAAAACAATGTCAAAACAATTATTTTCTATCATTTTGTACTTAAAAACCATATAAATAAAATTTCAAAGCCGTAAGAACTAATCTTTTTTATGCATTTCAGTTGCGCGATGGACTGAAAATCGGCCGCCAAATAGACAAAGATGAACGGCGTCGCTTCGCATTTTTTACTAAAATTTTGTTGAGTGAACTATAAACAAAAAATCGCATGATCTTCTCGTACAATTTGGAATTAATAGACACTCGTAATGTTTTGTAAGTTCTTTAATTGCACTCGCCTAAAGGCTCGTGCAATTACAAGAACTTACAAAACATTACGAGTGTCTATTAATTCCAAATTGTACTCGAGATCGTGCGATTTCCCAAATTGTACTCGAGATCGTGCGATTTCCTATACTTATTAGTAGACTATAGCCAGACCAATTTTGAAAGTGAATTTTGAAAGGGAAGCATTAATCAATAAACGTCATGATAATCGATTTAATCTTCGTATCGATTTAAAAGACAATTGATAATGAATAGGAAATCATAAAAAATGAACTTCAAAACTTGAAATTGTTTTATCGATACCCTGATTGGGCTCAGTGATCAAAGTCAGGGCATGGCTAACTCACAGATCGAGGCTCTGTAAGTCCCCGGATCAAATCCGATATTATGCAAAAATAATTCCGGCATCATGCAACAGTATATCCGGCATCATGCAACAGTATATCCGGCATCATGCAACAGTATATCCGGCATCATGCAACAGTATATCCGGCATCATGCAACAGTACATTCGTGAAGTAGCCAGTATTAAACTCTAGCGGATGCAAATTTGAAATAAGGGAATTGTCCATTATTATACAATTGTATGTCTAAATTTTCAGGTAGTTTTCCGTCAAGGTTTTTACATAAAAATATAATGATATTCATATGATTATAAGTGCTTTTAATTTAGAAAACAAATCTTTTTCAAATATTTATATATTTTTGAGAAGATAACAAATAAGTCAAGCGTGATGTATTAGCGTGACGAAACCTTGGATGTGATTTCACTGTAAATTCTGTAAGTTTTGAGAAATGACATCCTTGCGTTACGTGGTTTCAGGCCTCGTGATCTGGAGAATGTCTACAGGTCTAATCCTGACTTCATCCGTTTGGAATCGAGGAATCAACGGTAAATTTCTGAATAGATTTTGAAATTATGGACTTCAAATAACACTGATCCTTCTTTTCAAGCTCGAACCGAATGAGTTCCTTTGAACTGTGCAACTGAAGGTTTCACCATTCCATTCAGGTACAAACCATTCATTAGTGAGATAAATTATTCAGCATATATTTTTTATTCATTTTTAGTTGATTTCCGGTAAATTCATTTCTAGTTCATAGAAATATCTTTAACAGCACGTACATGAACTAAGTAAAACGTCAAAATGATAAGAAATTGCTCAAAAAAGAATTTAATTTCCTATTGAAAAATTAAGTCGTTTATTTTTCCCAAATGATAAGATCTCTATTCGCATTAAATTTTTCAACACGGTTGGATCACAGGTAACCCAAGCTTACTTTTAGCGTTGATTCCGTATGAATAAGTAGAATGTGACAACTAATATCGTGCAAATACAGTAAAAAATAGTTTTCAAAAATTCATCTAAATAATTGTTCTTACTTGTATCTTGAGCGAGTATCGTAGTGAAGGATCCTAACTACTTAATTTTTTGGCTATCTGTGGTTGGATTTAAGCATAGAAATCCATTGATTTCCGGTAACTGAAAGTGGGTGTCTGTCTGTTGGGTGTCTGTCTGTCTGTCAGTCACGCGATCGATCTACTATTCAATCTCGTACCCAGATCCTGCGTTTCTTCTGGCCTGCGGCGAAGAACGATGGCTCTGGGTACGAGATCACCTACTATTTTCAGTGCGCACACTTACTGCCCATTTACATCAAGCGATTTCCGCTGAATTACAGAAGCCAAACCCTCAAATGCGTAGAGGCGGGGTATGACAGCAATAAACGATTTTATGTAGTCAAAATGATGGATCAAGAAATATTCTTTAGGTGTTCTTAGTAAACAATCGTTTACTGTGTCACGCATGAAACTGTTCAAGGGGAAGATAGTTTTTGTTTGGGGGGAGGGGAGCTAGGGAACTTATAGCTTTAATTTTTTGAAACCTGGTGAAAGTCGGATCCCCCTCCCTCGTTTTGGTAACGAAAACAAAATTCAAATAAACTTTGATATTATTTTTACTGAACTTCCAAAACACGTAAAATTTCTAGAATACGTTAAGTTTCCTCTGTACTCCCCTCTTATAGCCCTACTTCTTCCATTAGAACTACTAAGCACTTAGTGCTTGTTGTTTTATCAAAAATATTCAGCCAGTTTTAGCCGACAAATCAAACTCCCAAAAAATTCCAAGCCACGACCACAAAATTTACCCACGGCCAACTTACACGTTACCATAGTTACATCCTGTCGCGACCCCCGCACCCGCTTAGTACTACCTGACTGGCGTCCCTCCGGGTATTTAACACACGAACAGAGCTCATCGTAAGATACAATACAAGAATTAACGAAGCTGAAAAAAGAATGTGGCATGGATAGCAAACGTTTCTGTTAAATAATTAATTACCAATGAATAACGCACAGAAACTTGCGGCAACACTGGTAATATAATGATAATGGAGGTATGTAAGGAAAACGTAAGAGAAATCTTTTTTGTAGCGTGTTGTGAGCGTCATCTCGTATTTCTCGCATAGTGACGCTTATCAGCTCAGCTTCACACTTTCTTGTACTATTTAGTATGTATTGCTGTTTTTTTCAATGAAATATTGACTTTGAACTCTAAAGTTAAATACCTTAAGAAAGGACCAAAACAATTATCTGAATGTGGACATTCTGTCGTAGTAAATACATCTTGTGAGGACAGTACTACAAGAACAGATTTGATGGAAATTTTGTTGAATGTTTTCGACGCTAGCAGAACTTGACCTTTCGCTGAAGGAAGCTTCAACCGTATTGTTTATAAACTGGCAGATATCAAGCGCATTTTAAGAGTGTTGATGCCATTTAAATTTCACGACTAGAAAAACGTATTTTTACAATAAAGAGCCATAATATGAACAGTTTTTATAGGGTAGTTACTTAGCGAAATACTTAGAATTGTCTCTTCATTAAAGCGTTTTATAATGTTTATTTTTACGGCTCGATATAGCATATTTTCATTCCAATTTCACACCTATCATTGGCATCTCGCAAAAATGTTCCAATAATCTAAAGAAACTTTTGATTTAAATGAGATTTTTTCTTGAACATACCTTATTTGTATTGTCTGGCAGTTAATGGTTTGTTTGCACGCTGACGAAGATGAAAGATTGAGCGCGAAACGCCGGTCTTCATTCAAGTGTCCCCAAGCAAACACATTAGTAAATGACAAGTATTGTTTCGTAGGATTTTATTCTATAATTTAAAAAAAAATTGTCATATAGCAAAGAAACCAAGTGTGGCAGCAAGACTTGTTAACTATCCTAAAGATCTAAGTGCCTTATTAGAACTAATTGTTAACAGGATTATAAAATGTACGAAAAAAGGCTATCATCGAGGAACTCATTGTCTGGTTTGTTGGGTCGTTTTTTCTGCTTTGAAACCAGATTCACCTCTGATAAATGTTAAGAGGTTTGGTTGACAGATGTAGCGAAGCATTAGTGATTTTCACGTTTAAAGCATTTATTTAACATACATTTTGATTTTGAGTTTGTTTGTGTGAGCTTTAAAAGGAATTTAAAGCCCACGCAAGACAGATTGAAACATGATATTCTGGTGGACATTCAAAATCGTGGGGTATTAAATGAAATATCCTGTAGTGCGTAGACGTGTAGAGGGTGTGGGTTAGCTTATCGCAACCACACGGCCGTCCAGCCATACCATATCTGTGATTCATTTGCGTTTCTAGAAATAGGTACAATATCACCTTTTATGGGAAATATTTCATCGTCCCTTGCTACACGTGTCATGGAAGATCTTCGTGTTTGCTTTTATGGTAACCTCAAAATAGTTGACTAGTTGACATCTAGGGAATAGTAAGACTATACCTTTCCTTCTTATTTGATTCCAAAAACAATTTATAAATTTATAAAACGTGCTCTTGGATTGGTGTTTACATAATCGAGACATGCTTCGTGCTCAGGAAGAGATCTCAAAGGTTATCTCTCTTACCTACTTGTGCGAAGATGATACGCACGAGAGCGATTGAGAAAGGACCGAGTGTCTGTCTAAATTCTGCACAAACATACCCTATTCTCTATCCAAAATATGTACTTAAATAAGTAATCATATTAAATCTAGGTTTCTTAGCATGTTAAGGTTTCCTCCAATTATTATCTACAAGAATGTCAACTCGTTGGTATTAAAAGAATTGAAGGCGGGAAACCGAGGATTCCGGAAAAAATATCTGAAACACTTGTTGCATCCTTGTAGTGAAGGGGTTTTACGCGCGCTCTTTCTCACTCTGTTGGGATCTTATCCAAGGACTACTCAGTCTGATAATCTAGAATTATAATTGTTTAAATCCTCAAATGAATTTGATTGTACAGGTAATTCCTGTCTATGCCCTTCAAAATCGTTCTGTTTTTTTTTTTTTGACAAGTTCCCCATTTGAGAAGTCTATCAATATTATTATTTAAATGAATGTGAATGTAGAATTGCTGAGAATGGAAAGGAAAGGAAAGGAAAGGAAAGGAAAGGAAAGAAAATGAAAGAAAAGAAAAGGAATGAAAAGAAAAGAAAAGAAAAAATGTATAATAAACAGAAGCTGTTATCAGTCGAGTGTTTTAGTCAGATACGAACTATGAATTTTGTACCACTTACTTTCTGCAAGTACCTTGTAACATTATTGCCAAGCAAATTCGCCTAAAGTGACCCAAAACAATGGTTGCAAGTTAAGGATGGATTTAAAAAAAAAACAATAAATGTATAAAAACATCTTGTTCGACCTCGACTAGTAGCTATTGTTTCGTATTTCCAAATTGAGAGGTCTATTCTACAAGATAAAATACAAGAACTCTTGAGGGAATCCCAGTTCAAATATATAATACGCAGGCTTCAACATAGCTTTACAATAAGTAATTTATACCAAACTCATTGTTTTGAATTGAAATGGCACTGAAAATATGAATATGTCTTTTTTTAAGCTTTCATCATTGATAGTTGAAATAAAGAAAAAAAAGAGATTTTTTAAATAATTAAATTTTAAATAATTTTATTTCATTTTTAAATAAAATTGTCATCATAACTGACTGAAGTTTTAGAGCGTGTTATAAATATATACAATATTACACAATGGCGCGAAGATATTGAGTGTATCTTCGAGTGGTGAAATTTTTCAATGACGAGAAGATAAACTTCATTTCTTCAAACCAAAGTGTAATTTTCTTTTTATTATATAGACACATTCACAAACAAAAACTTGTTGAAAACATTGGAAAAGTCTCCATCGATATCTTCACTAGTGAGAAGATGGAAAAAATGTCACTGAGGTCCCGGATGTAGCTCGTGTGAAAAATAAGAATGGCGTATTTCCTTGTCAAAACACTCATGTCTATACAAAACCTGTCAGCTATTTCAAAAACGACTGGTGCAGTTTCATATTCATAATGTCAGTACAGAAGAAAATATCATCGGAAAAACGTGCAGACAAAGTTTAGAGAAATTTCATATCGTTGTGGCCTTTGTCTGACTGTATTCGCATCACCCATAGCGCATTTCATGCTTGTTATGCAACATGCATCAAAACCGTCATCTACATCATTTTTAAATAGCTGTATATTTTACAACCATCATACAACCGTGAGGTTTGAGGTTTGCTCCAAGCATAGCATATTGCTTCTCGACACCTTGGAGTGCAGAATCTGCCAGTCTGCTTTGTAACTGCATAAAGCACAGGAAGCAAGTTTTTAAATTTCTTTTACAAGATGCAAATTAGAGCACTCGTTGTTTTGGACACGAATGACGAAATAGAAAGTGCGCTCGCGTGCTGTGTGCTCTCATAACTCACACGCCCCCAACCAATCAGAACGTGATATTTATAACACTTATCTTAAGGTGTGAGGGCCGTCACTCAGATACCTCATGGGGTTGATTACGTCACTCTAGTAAGATAACTATATGGAATAACAATTCTTTTGATATCACCAGGTAATGGAGCGGTTTGAGCTCGCCATCGTCGTGCTTCTGGTTGTCCTTGTAATAGTGTGTGTCTACATTGCCGCATCTTGGACATTCTGGAGGAAACAAAGTAAGGGTCACGTACAACAATGGCTGGAAACCGGGCACGATGAAGGCATCCAGAGCTCCATTTCACGTGGATTTGCACCAGAGGGTGAAGAAGGGGTACCTAAGATAACCATCACCCCTGTACAACCACGCCCAGATGTGGGAGAGGTAAGGCGATCAGCGTTATGTATACTCTCACATACATTTGGTGGAAATAGACCTTTCATTGCATGGGCGTAATGTTTCCCCTTTACAGATCACGCGTCATTTACTAGAGTATCATTTCTTTGTTTAATGGTTGCACATGAGAAGACACATGAATAGGGATACGACTCAAACAAAGAATCTTATTCTCAAGAGAATGACACGTGGTTTGAAATGGGAAAACATTACACCCAAGGTAAAAAGGTCGATTTATTCTAAACAAGGTTTAAATATTTCTTATGCATGGCAAGCATTACTATACTTCACGGCAGCAAAGTTGAATGGAGGCCTTGCCATGCATGCAATTAGTTAATTTATTGATAGGAAATGAGTTCATTTGTAGATTACTTTGTGGCAGTGGAGTGGTTTGTTAAAGTGAGGTGCCTTCCGGCTCCGCCGCCCATCTATCACCCACTTTCATAACTGCATAATTTTGCAAACTCTATATTATAAAATATCTCCTGAGCCAAAGTGCTCATTTGTTGTGGAGAGAAGTCTTCCCAAGTAGCTTGTACAGTAACTCGTCTTAGAATTCTGAAAGCAGGGAATTTTTTCTATCTCACTTTTGCAATATTGCTGGCAACGCTGCGAGAAACATTCGCAGAGCTGTGATACATGATACAATAGAGGCTTTGCACCATCACGTAATGGCAGGCGTGACAGGAGACATGAACAATTGAAACTGTTCTAAACTAATTTAAATGAGAAAGAATTCAGTTTCCCAGGGAAAAATAAGATTCTATTGCTGTGCCTCCTGTCATGGTTGCCAGCCAGAGCTATTACTTATCGGTGTATCATTTGTTATCCAGTTGTCTGCTTTAGAAACGGAAGATGAGGAAGACAAACTAGCTGCTCATGAAATGGAAAGTCAAGAAATCGAATTAGGAAGACTGTATTTTGCACTCCAGTACGACCAGCAAAGGTAACAGTACATTCTCCTTGTTTGTATTCCAACAAGTACATTTAACATGGTTCATAGAGCTTCCTTTTGGAAGAGATAGTAATACTCGTAAAGTCGGCAAGGAAAGCACAAATATAGAAAACGAAAATGTCATTGTTCAGAAATTCATTAGGGCCCTCGCAAGAGGACTTCATTTCATTTTTAACATTACACATGTCCTTTTTCAGGTCAATTCTTCGTGTTCGTCTAATAAGAGGCGAAGATATCCCAATGGAACGAGACATCAGTGCCACATATGTTGGTGTCCGTCTACTGCCACTCAGACTTCAAGGCGAGCAGGTCGAGCCCTACGAAACCTCAATCAATGTCTCTTTCCAAGAATGCTATGACTTTCATTTGACACAATCCGAACTTGCCCAGCAAACACTGGATTTCCACATCTGTCGCTATGACCGATTCTCCCGTAAGGTTGTCATTGGAGACGTGTTTCTCGCTTTGGCTGAGTTGGGGGCGCAAGGTATTGACATCACAAGGGAGGTTTATCTCTGCAGAAACATCATAAACAGTCGCGAGGTGAGTTATATGTTCTATTATTGTCTTGTATTGAATGGCTGTCATGTGTTATTCAGTTATCTTAGTCCCTGATGTAGAAAAGGATGACGAGAAAGACACACAATAGATTATTGATACACAATGGAATGGGTGTCATGAGTAACATGCGCTGCAGCGTCTCTGTCTGTCAGCCCTGTATAGTTCATGCCAGGGATCGCGGGCTCAATTCTTGACTGTACCACATATGTGAGTTGAGTTTGTTTGACGTGTTGTTCTCTCCCTTGTCACGAGAGTTTTCTTCGGGTTACCCGGCGTTTCTTCCTCCGTAATCTGAATCGAAATGGGATTTGAGTGTTGGGTGTCATAAATAGTAAATGTAGTTGAAGAGCTTGTGAAGCGAACCTCAAACCTCACGAATGGTAATAGTAATAGTCTGAATTGTAAGGAACATGACGCCCAAACTGAATGCATCTATAGTACTTTTAGGTATTCACGAACAGTAACAGTACTAGGCGCTAGAAATTTCGATTCGATGGTTTATTTTATTTTATCTGAAGGCCAAACACGCTCGAAAAGGCAATCTGATGACAGAATCCGAAGAAGAAGAAGAAAGAAAGAAACAGGAAACAAAATATAAGGTACAGCGCTAGAGTCAATGATATGCAAGGACACGCGTAACACTTGGTCAGTTGTGAGCAACGTGCTAATTCATGTTACGTCGAACCCCTTTCGTATGTTCGTCCAAAGGACACTGAGGAATAGCACTTGGTCCATTATGACCAACATGGGTGCAATGTTACATCGCACTCTTTCGTGTGTTTGTGCAAAGGACACTGAGGAATAGCACTTGGTTCATTGTGACCAACATGGGTGCAATGTTACATCGTACTCCTTTCGTGTGTTTGCGCAAAGGACAATGAGTAATAGCACTTGGTTTATTGTGACCAACAGGGGTGCAATGTTGCATCGCATCCCTTTCGTGTGTTTGTGCAAAGGACACTGAGGAATAGCACTTGGTTCATCGTAAACAACATGGATGCAATGTACATCGCACTCCTTTCGTGTGTTGTGCAAAGCACAAAGAGGAATAGCACTTGGTTTATTGTGATCAACATGAAATTTCCTTTCTTCCCTATTTAAATTTCTTCCTCTTTTTCCCCCTCACATTAGGTCTCAAGATCAACTAATGTACAAGAAAATGCAAAGGCTTTATGGAAGGTTGTCCAGAGTGCGGTGCATAAAGGCCGGTTCCGTGGTCTTTCATACTCTATAACAGGACAAGACTCGCCATTTTACTGGGAATCAATGTTCTCTTCAGGCGAAGGAGAAAATGTTGAATACAGTTTAGGAAGTAGAGGGAAACCAGGAAGTGTTTATTATTTTTCGGGTCCTGGACCCCCAGCTGAAGCCTCGCCAAAGGAGGACGGACCAGAAGATGAATTTGTAGAGGACATCGTGACGAGGGGAGAACGCTCTGGTTCATTTTTATTTCCTTCGAAATCAGATGAAGATGATAGCCTGCAGCATGCTGTAGAAGGCGAAGAAGAACGAGAACCCCCTTTGGCATCCCCGTTACAGATATCTCCTGCTCCTGAAGAGTATTATAAAATAGTGCCCATTACACCATTCGTTCCCATGTCTCCACTCAAGGACCACAGGCCGAGGGATTCCTCAGTATCGTGGCATGTCCCGGAAACATTTACCTCTCGTGGACCGGATGTGGTGCAAGCACTTGCAGACTCTTACACAGATCCCCGAATTGTGACCACAGCTAATTTGAGACACAGCAAAAGAGTTCGTCGGTCACCCGAGGGAACTGGTCCTATCTCTACTGATTCTGAACAAGGAAAAAATTTGAAAGATCCGGCCAAAGAACATTCGCAAACGACGAAGCGAAAACACGAAGAAATTGGCAAAAGGGCGAGCCATAGAAAAGGCAGGCGACAAATAACACCGCCAAAGAATGTAAAACAAACGGCAACACATGTCGCCTCTCCTGATGGCGAAACCAAAACCAAAGGAAAACGAACTCAAACAGTTTCTAAAAGAAAATCTAAACTAATTCGAACTAGAGCAAAGCATTTAAGAACCCTTTCTTCCTCTAGTGAAGAAGAAGAAAATGCGAAAAGTCATTTCAGAACTCAACACCTTCGAAAGACCCCCGAGGGATCGGCATCAAAGGATTCAGAAGAGCCAATCGTATTTGAAGCGCGTGATTTCGATGGGTCTTTAATGCCAATCCTTAATGATCGAGCTCAGTCAGAACCAATCATTTCATCGAGAGTGTCAAGATTATATCAGAGGAAACGAGAACCACGTGGCTCTGTATCAATGTCCGACGTTAAGGATTCCCATATTGACAGCAGTGATGTGTCTTCAGACTTTGATCAATAATTAATCTACACAGTACAAAACTATTCTATAGACCAAAGTTATGATGTTAATATTTTCCAGTATAAAAACAAATTATAGAATTATGTTTATTTGAAGTTTATGTTTGTATCGAAAAAAAAAAGTGAGCAAGAAACTTACGGAAAGAATAAATTGGGTCTATGCAAGTTAGTTTGCATGGTTAATAAATAAAATAAAATATAATGTAATAAAATATAGAATAATATAATGTATATCTGATATAGGAGGATATACCGGTTAATTACGTCAGCAACGCGCGCTTGAAACCTCGTTTTTCGTCTTTCAAATTTTACCCTTGATTTTGTATCAATTTTTTTTCGAAAAAAAAAAAAAACAAAACAAAACACCCTCCAGTTTTCCTTGGTATGTCCTCTTATTTACCACTTTTTTTGCCATCCAACTGTTGTCTCGCGAGAGTCCACTCTTTAAAATACATATGTTAAAGATTTCATACAGATCACATTAGTGTAAAGCCATTCTTCTCTTAACATTCCATTGTACAGTTTTCGGCAGAACCGAGAACTTGGCATTTTGTCCCCTGAAAAAACGTGGGTCAGTTGATAAATTTGAATTTGAACTTAGATTTAGCTAGATTTTTATTTACACACATTTCGAATTAAATGATATTAGAGTGCATTTACATTTTTGCTGAAAGCCGTATCGCAATCGGTCGGACACCGGAAGTAGACTGAGTTTTTTTTGCTATGAAAATTGTTTCCTTAATATCGCCACGTAAATTGACTTACAGATGTTACTGAACACGGCTACCATTGTCGTTGAAGTGCGACCCTCGACTAGCATTTCAACGACCGTCAATCAAAGAAATTGAATAAATGAAAAACGATGTTTTGAGGAAAATTTTGGACTGAATTAAAGATTTTTAGAGCATAAGAGAATTAAAATTTCGAGTGATTTAGTAATGACTTCAGTACTAGACTTGATTTGATGGTTTATATTACCGAAGGCGAAGTGAATATCATTCCATAATCCGCCGCTCGTCCGGGCTACCCCGCCTACAAATAAAGTTTATATTTATATTTTTAGTGTTGAAGTATAAAATTGTGCTAAATTGTCCGATATCATCTACTGAGATTGAGGAGGGAAAAAATGCCACTACTATGACGACGTTACCACACCTGTTTATGGTTCAATAACTTGAAGCAGGTTAAAATGGACATTGAATATTTCAGAGACAAACTGTTAAGAATATATTTACTTGCCAATCGAATTGGAAAGTAAGTCAATTATATTTTTAGTTATACATTAGTCGACTAAGTCTTCAAACTGGAAAAATAAAAATAAGACAGTGTTTAAGGAATATTAGCAAGTGGAATGAGGGATGAATAAGAATGGCTGTCATCATTATCGCTCGTATCCCTGTACTAGTGTTCGTTATTTGGTTGTCTTTGATGCTGTTTATGACAAGAATGGTCTGGAAAACCATAGACAACAAGATAGCTGATGTTCATCGACAGCAAGGTAAAAAAAAAAAAAAATTACTGATTACTATCATTATTGTTGAAGAGGCCGAATTTGGATGACCGTCAATCAAAGAACTGCAATAAAATAAATCTTGAACGATATTTTAGACTGAATTGAAATTTTTTAATCCTCTATTTATCCTCTAAAAACTTTGATTCAGTCCAAGTTTTCCCTCAAAATATTTGTGTTTTTTTTATTACAGTTCTTTGATTGACGGTCGTTGTAATGCTAGAAGACAAACGAGATATCCTCCGAACTTCAACGATAATGGTAGTAATAGCCGTGAAAAAGTATCAGTCCTTAATGTGTTGTAGTTTGCCAATTAATGTCTCATGTAAAATAATTTACGTTCGTTTGAACAAGATGTTTTAAATACTTTTTTGTAAAGTAATCCCGCAATGTATTTGTACCATATTACAGAGCAGGAATGTGTGTGAAATTGTATTTAGAGTGAGTTTATTTAGAGCGCATGCAGTAAACCATGAAATAAGAACAAAGTTGATATTGACAAATAGTAGCTATTTAGTGACTGATAGTTCATATCACTTATCCTGAATATTCACACAAAAGGCACAAATGGTCTCTATTGTGTATTTGTCTTTTGCGTATTGAATGTTCTGGTTGGGTGACAGCAACTATTAGTCACTAAATAACAACTATTTGTCGCTATCAACTTTGTTTTTATTTCATGGTTTTACTGCATGCGCTCTAACCCGTGAAAGAGAAATGACTATTTAGTTAGTACTTGTTGATAAAAACAAAAACAAAAACAAAAACAAAAGAATATAATGGTCTTAATGAAGAAATAGAAAACGCGCGCATGTGCTGTGTGCAGTTATAAAGCACACGCGGAAGAACACAAGAGAAGTGTTAGGAGAAGCACGACGCATAGCGAAGTGCTTCTCGACACTTCTCAAGTGTTCTGCCAACCCCCAAGTGCTTTATAACTCCACACATTCTTGTAGTTGCCAAGTTTTGCATGTGTGTTTTTGTCGTGGTTTGTCTCTGTTCTCGATTAGAAGCGAAGAACTACTAGAGTACGAACACTAAATGTGTGCAACATAAATATCACTCTAAGAATATCTATATAGTAATTTTTGTAGTTGCCAAGTTTTGCATGTGTGTTTTTGTCGTGGTTTGTCTCTGTACTCGATTAGAAGCGAATCCGACGAGTTTTAGCCTCTTTACGGGCCTAGGATCCAAATCACGTAGAGACAAAGAACGTAGAGACAAAGAGCTAGAACACACGTGCAAAATTTGGTAAGCTAACTACAAAAATTACTGCAATAAATATTCTTAAGATATACAATTTTACAAACACCTCTTGTAATAAGGTACAAGTACATTGCTTGGGCTTCCTGTGCATAAACGAACCACTATTTTCCAAGTCAGGCTCAAATGGCTCTCATCATTTGGTATCTAGTAAAAAATCAGGCTGAGTAGGTACTTGACAGGTTGTTATTTAACGTCAATCTAATTGCTATTTACACCTTTTGCTGTTCATTAACCGCAAAGGAATATTATTGAAGCGAAGAAGCATTGTCATTAGAGCGAACAGGCATACAATAAGGCGAACGGAGTCTCAATAGTGCGATGGAACTTTCATTAAGAAAATTAGCATTTGTATTGCGTAAATAAATGTCCAAAACACTGTATTGAATGTGTGTTGTGGTTTATTGTCTGCACCAAAACGCTAATGAAAGTTCGAAAACGTTCACAGGCTCACAGGCGTACGCTTTGGTCGGATCACATTATCAATTAAGCTAGAGGATATGTTTTTCAATAATGAGCAATAATGGCAAAAAGCGCCAAAAACTAGACTTTCGTATGAGTTTTGATCCCAATTTTCGTTTTGGGTTAACACTCAAAACCTTTTTTAAACAGTTAGAAACTGATGTACTATGATAAAATGCCTGTTTGAAGCGGTATTTTCAACTGTACAAAGATGTTTTGTTGCATTTGTGTTAGAATGTTACTTTGACAGGCTTTTCTTATAGAAAATATATGGGAAATAAGCAAATGAAGGCCTAAACCTCATTTTCGAATAAATTTTTTGCTTTGGCCAAAGGCAACTTCCAAATACCAATGCCTTTGGCTCTATGGTTCTTCGGGACGAACCACAGCCAAACACCGAACAGTTATCGCCGGGGATTACTTCAAAACTATCAGCATCTAATCCGTAGGGTAAATTATTGTTTAAATAAAAAAAAAACTAACTATAAATATCGCAAGACTTCTCTAAGAAACTACTACGCTGCTCGCTTGTCTAGATTTTGTGTGCGCGGTCGTCACCACGTGACCAAGCAAAATCCGTAAAAAAGACATATCCCTTTGAAGTTTGCCATTCTATTCCAGGAAACCAAAAGAAAGAAATCCAATTTCTACACCTTGTCATTCAATTTCCTTTGTTATCAAATGCATCATCAAATGATACGGGATTTGCACGTGAAAGACAGCTTGAATACATCCAGACGTTACAAAGAAACCTGGCCCATCCTTTGGTAAGTCGGCAAAACCTATTTTCTGCCCATTTTTAAAGTGTTCAGTAAAATAGCGTTTTCTCATCATGTCTCATCCCTTCGTCACTAACAATAAATAATAAATGGTCCATTAATGTTGGATATATAATTTTGCCCACAGATAATGTACTTTTTAGATCTCTAGTTTTAAATCTCATAGACTCAACGGTTGACAAAAGAAATATGGAAAGTATAATGATCGAGTTGCAGTGAATACTCTTGGTAACATGGAAACATTCCTTACCCTCCAATAGGAATTAGAAACTGTTTTAGGAATTAGATGCCAAATAGACACAGTTAGTTCAGTCCTCAACCTCGCAATGGCTAATAGACCAGTAGTCGCGTACGAAACTAAAAGAAATCTTGCACGTTCATTTTAGGTGAAAAGAGTCCATATTCTCTGCGAAGATTACCAAGCAATGAGATTCATTAAACATCACTTCAAACTAAATGCACAGAAAATCATACTGAAGAATATTGGTCATCGATTGCTTTATAGCGACTCCTTGGCTTACGTGTCCAAACAACTGCTTTTCAAAACCTGCATTATAATGCATGCTGATATCTACATTGGGAAGGGATTCGAACGACTAGATCCAAACATTTTGAAGCAAGGAACGATGTACGCATTAACAAGACACGAGGACAGAGAACAGATGAAGGCTTGTCCAGGGATCAAGGACTTTTGTGGCAACAACTCTAAATATATCGGTTCTCATGATGCCTTTGTTATGCATTTAGTACGTCCGCTTCCTGATGAAGTACTTTCGAAAATGAACTACAGGCCCAATCTCGTAGGCGCCGAGAATGTTTTCATTTACATGCTAGAGACATATGGACATTTTCGATTCAAAAATCCTTGTTCTGTTCTGCATATTATTCACAATCATTGCAGTATTTATAGAGGCCAAGAGAGGTTTTTATATCGACAAAGATTAGAAAAATATTTCAATATACCCAAAGGTTTAGCAACCTTTTCTGGTCTTTAAACTTATTAGTACAAATCTTATATTTGTAAAAAGTTAGCAAT